TAGAAGATCGGCTCGGGACGCTTGAGGTTTACCGACTGCTGTGGAGCTCCTCCACTCGTAGAGCCCGCCACGACCACCACCTGGTCTTGTGGTGAAGAACCCGTTGCGGGACTACCCGTACCGGGAGAACCACCCGCACCGGGAGATGCGGTCGAACCACCACTCGCGTTACTCATGCTGCCACCACCTCCCCTGCGGGCCACTACACCAATACCCTCAGTACTCGAGCACGCCAGTACGGGCCCACGATCACTCGCAGGTGCGAAGATGTACCGATTCAGGTATAAGTCAATCGACAGATACCCTGCGAATCGGGTGGGTCCTCCTTAAGACTCTCCACCCACAGAATTACCCTCAACTGGGAACCTCTTGTGGCCAGGATGGGTAATTCGATGGAAGTGTCACAAGGGTCTTTGTAGGATCGACTCCAAGAGGTGTTCTCAGGACTGACACACATTGTGTCCTTGGGAAAATATCCAAGTCAGGAGAAAAAGTGTGCACCCAAGGAGATTCGAACCAGTATCCTGCCGCTGACACTATATGCGAAGGTGTACCGATTCAGGCAAAAGTCATCGACAGATACCCTGCGAATCGGGTCCTCCTTAACACAGGAGCGAGACTGTATGGCGAGACTGTACAATTTTCTGCCGAATAGTGACGTCACCAACACGCCCTTTGGTAGAAATCATGAGAACAGGTACTTGACTGATAGTATACTAAAGCGTACTTTGAGTAGAGTATGGGGGGCTGTACTATCGCGTTAGTACAGTATGGGCAGCCGTACTAAAACTATTTTTAGTACAGTATGGGAAGCCCTACTAAACTCAACAACTGTACGCTTAGTACAGTATGGAGAGCCGTACTAAACGCAACAGTACGTTTAGTACAGTATCGAGAATCGGTACTGAGGTTTGTATCAGTACAGTATGAAAAGCCGAACTAAACGAAATATCCTAAAATAAAAACTCCAATGGGTTACAACATGCACCGTGCAACAAGGAGGGCGCAAAGGTGCACACATGTGTTCCGATTAATGGAAAGGGCCAATCCCAACTCTGCGTGACACACACCTTCATGGGGCTTCGTACCGCAGCGTGAGCAGCACGCCCGAGCATGACGAAAACACTGCGGAACCTGCCGGTAGTCTCCCTCTGGCACAGCAGTGCAGAGGAGCGCAGGGGAGGACGAAACACATCGAAGGTGGGCAGGAGGATGGCATAAGTTCGATTGCAAATTCAAACAAATTTCAAAACTCTTTCAAAAAATCACAACAGCAAATTATTCCCCGATCGGTCAATCAACAAAAAAAATGGGTGCGCTCTTTGCTTGTTCTTACTTAGTATTATCATCATGTTACCGCAAAAAAACGTTTCTTGGCGCTGAATGCACGCCTTGCTTGGCACACAACAGGTCAAATCGACTTTGCTCACCATAGAGCGGTGGTCCAAGCACAAAAATAAACACAGCCACAGAGGATAACGCACTTGTAAAGACCCTGTCCACCCGGCCTGCTGTTTTCAGCACAGGGGGCAGGGAGCAGTGTCGCAAACTGGGTGTTTGCGATTTCCTCCACACGCCCCTTCGAAATCAAGATGATAATCACTCTTCTACAAGTATTCTAAGTTCAAGTCAAAAAGAGCCGAAACCGCAGGCGCTCAACTTAAGCTTTGCGTTGCCAGGAACCTGGCGCACAGAGTACTTACCTCACTAGTTAGAGGACATCCTATAGCAGCGGGGTGGTGCGCGTTGGCGTGCCCAAATCTGCCTCAGCGTGGCGGTGATATCGACGGTCGCGATAGTATTAATGGCAGGCAGCCTACTAGACTGACCGGGGGTGTACTCATACTCACAGTCGTGCATGCCGTAGTCGTTAGACCATTGACCTCGCATCGCTACAAAGCCGGGACGGAGCACGCCGAGTTCTCACCGGACCAGGCTCTCATATCACCAAGCGCGAAGCGCCGTGAGGTATTCGGCGAGTCGCATGAAAAGTGCGCTGCATCCTGCTAAGGGTGTTCGGCATCTTGTGCTTACTCCCTTGCGTACGGATGACAGCTGCGTATGACTTAATTTATATTCTGGTGCTCAACTTCCAGAGACAGTTGTAGGCACTGTGTAACTGCCTCGAGGGTGCTTGACCATTTTAACACAACGTGGTGCAATCATCCCCCTTGCGCGGGGTGA